TTCAGCTTAGAGAGCATCTCCTTCCAGAAATTTCTGACTGCTTCTCTCTGCCAAGGCTGATTTGGGCACTAGCCTTAGAGGCTCCATAGAGTCCCGGGTATGTAATATAGCATTTTCCATTCCATATTGTAATTGTCTGGATGCATGTGTCCCAGCCTCTAGTCTGTAAGTTCCTTCAGACAAGGACTACTCTGTATTCTTCTGCCTAGGACAACAACTGTGCGTGGTTTTCACTGAACAAATGTTTGCTTATTAGATTATTCAGCCCAAGTCTCAAGGCAGAGTGCTCCTCAGAAGCATTTGACTCAGCTACTCACTTTCAGGACCAAGTTGCAGAAACCACTGCTGCAAGGTATGCTTTGGGGATCTTCTGTGATCCCTTCTTTATGACTGTTGACAAGCATTTGTGCTAGAGGTATGACCATGTTATGAGGACCTTCTGGTATTTACAATGATTTTAAGCTAAATGATCTTGGGAATTGTATTACTCAGAAACTGCTCCAAAAAATAACAATAATAATAATAAATAAATAAGGAAGCAAAAGCTTAGTAAAATTAAATGACTTGCCCAAATCATGGATCTGGGACTCAATTCCTGGTCTACTAGCTACCCTACACCATTGTCTTCAACAAGCTGGTCCCATCTCTTCCCAGCCCCACCTCCGGCCAGGCTCTGTCCCATCCTCTGCTCCAGCCGTCAGAAAGTGTCCCCAATCGTGAATCTCACTTTGATCCAATTCTGCCTTTAGGCTCAGCTGAAAATATGAAAATGTATAGGAATTGGCAGCATGCTTTAGTTCTTTTTTCAGAAAATATAAAGTGGCAGAAGAACTTTTCTCTTTCTTTTAAAGTTTTTCCAAACATGAATCTCACTTTGATCCAATTCTGCCTTTAGGCTCAGCTGAAAATATGAAAATGTATAGGAATTGGCAACATGCTTTAGTTCTTTTTTTCAGAAAATATAAAGTGGCAGAAGAACTTTTCTCTTTCTTTTAAAGTTTTTCCAAACTATAAAAGGAATGTATGCTCTTTGTAGAAAATTAGGAAAATAACAGAAAAATATGAAGATGAAAACTAACATTATTTCTTATTTTGCTACCTAGAAACATCTACTTTTTTTTTTTCTTTTTTTGTCTTTTTCCGTGTCCGGCAACGGATCGCAACCCTCAGTGTCGCCCCCGTACCGGACTGGGACCGGCAACGGGATCGCAGCCCTCGGCGTTGCTCCCGCGCCTCGCTCAGCCAGTGAGCGGGAACCGGTCTGTATGTGGGATCCGAACCCTCGGCGGGAGCGCCGCCGTGCTTCCCAAGCGGCACACTATAGCAGTGCGCCACCGGGCCAGCCCATAGAAACATCTACTTTTAACATTTTAAGCCTATTTCCTTTTTTCCTTTCGATGTCCATGCATTCTTAATATCTAAAATTAGGATAATGAAGCATTTATTCTTGTTTTTTCCTGCTGAATATTATAACATAATTTTTCATTTTATTGGTTATTACTCAAACATTTGAAATGATTGCATCATATTTCAGCCTATGAAGATACTAGACTTTATTGAATCATTCCTCAATTTTGGGCAATTTGGAGTATTTCAAAATTGTAAACATTACGTGTTAAAACAATACATTTGTACATAAAATTAAGTTCACTTCTCTGATTATTTTCTAAGAATAGATTCCTAAAGAAGAAATTGGTGGGTCAAAGATCATGAATATTGTATTTCATTTTCTATTGCTTCTGTTAACAAATTATCACATATTAAGTGGGTTAAAACAACACTCATTCATTATCTCACAGATCTATAGGTCAGAAGTCTGGCAGGCTCAGCAGGGTACTCTGCTTAGGGTCTCACAGCCACAAATCAAGGTGTCACTGCCCTGGGCTCCTATTTGGAAACTCAGGGGGAGAGTCAGCTTCTAGGCTCACTTAGGTTGTTGGCAGAATTAATTTTCTTCTCATGGTTTCCATGTGCTTCCTCTATTGTCAAGCCAGCGATGAAAGGTTGAGTTCTTCTCATGCTTGGAATCTTTCTGACTTCAGCTGAAGAAAATTCTCTGATTTTTAGGCCTTGTGTGATTAGATTATCTAGGATAATCTCCCTATTTTAAGATTTGTTCTTTAATTGCATCTGCGAAGTCTCATTTGCCATGTAAAGTAACATATTTATAGGTCCCAGGGGTTAGGATGTGTATATCTTTGGGGGGCCATTCTGCCTACTACAAACATTAAAGTTCTTTATCCATATTGCCAAATTGCTTTCCAGAAAAGCTGAGCCAAAGTTACTGCCACCAACGTTAAATGAGCGTTCTATTCCCCACATTCACTGGAGCAGTATCTTTGTTTATTTTAGTAATCTGACAAACAAAACAATTGTATTTAATTGTGGTTTTACTTGTGTTTCTTTGATTCATTGTGAGGTCAAACTATTTGTAAATATTCATTCACCTTTTGTTTTTCTTCTGTAATTTCATACCCATTGCCCATTCTTCTATTAGATTCTTAGAATTTTTCTTATTAGTTTGTATTCTCTCTTCGTACATTCATAGATCGGTCTATCTTTTAGAATAGCTAGTGTTTTCTAAGTTGTTTGTTCTTTAATGTACAAAATGATTTTTCATTGTTGGTCGTTATGTGCACTCACTTTTGCCTTTGTGGTTTTTTCCCATTCTTATTTACTTTCACATGCAGCCATCAAATAGCTCTTCCTGAAATGTCTACTTTTATGTTTTGGCTTGTGTATCGAGTTTTTTCATTTTGGTGTGTGGTGTGAAGAAAGACCCTCAATGATTTTTTTTTTCAATCTGTTTTCCTCAGCACTGTCTGTATTAGTCCATTTCTGTTGCTTATAACAAAATACCTGGAACTGGATAATTTATAAGAAAATGAAATTTACTGCTTACAGTTTCTGAGGCTGGGAAATCCAGTCTAGGGAAGACATCTGGTGAGGATCTTGGTGGTGGTGACAGTCACTCAGGGGTCTCTCATGGCAGAAAATGGCAGAGCAGAGAGAGACTATCTTCTCATGTGCTCTTCTTTTAAAGCCCTCAGAACCACACCCCTGACCACCATTACTAATTCATTCGCTACTGCAGGGTCCTACGATCTAATCACCTCTTCAAGGCCCCACCTTTCGATTACCATAACAGGATATCCCACCTTCAACAGCTACAACGGGGATTAAGCCTCAGTGAAGTGGGGAAGGCATCCAGTCTACAGCACTGTCTATTGCAAAATTATTACATTTTTGATTGGGACGGCAGTCATGGAATTGCATACTACAGAAGCAAAGGATATTCAAACTGCTATTGCACATAAGGAAAACGTAGAGTCAAGACAAAATGGCAGAACTTCCAGGTTGGAAAAACAAATTAATGAAGTAATTCCTCCTATGTGTCCCTGTAACAGGAGCTGAGAAAACTAATGAAGTTGATTACAAGTAGTCAGAAAGGGTTTTTGATGTCATGAGCCTGTCTAGGTAGTACTGGATCTCCTAACCAAATGAAAACTGACTTAGGAAAAGTTATTTTAAATCATATATCTGTATAAAAGCAGAACCAGATAGCATACATTAAATAACGCTAACTACAAGGCAAAAAATATACCACCACCCCTCCCAAAAAAAAAGAAAGAAAAAAAGAAAAGCCTCTTATCCTTCCAACTTGAAAATTTAAACATTTAATTATGACAATACTATTCTAATTAATCTGATCCCATTAAGACATGAATTGCAGAACTTCAAGCTATATGGACCTGGCCCCAGAAAATGTAGTTAATGAGTAGGCATGCCATAGACTGGGAAAATATATTGACAATGTAACAAAGGACATGTATCCATATTTAAAGAACTCCTCCAAATCCACAATAAAAAGACAAACAATCTAATTTTAAAATAGGCACAAGATTTGAATAGACACTTCACAAAAGAAGACTTGTGAATGGCCATTAAACCCACAAAAAGCTTTCGACAGTAGCCTTCACAGAAGTAAAAATGAGAATCACAACGAGATACCATTTCACACCCACTAAAAAAGTACAAAAGATAATGCCAAATGTTGGCAAAGATAAGGAGTCACTGGAATTCATATATATTACGGGTGGAAATAAAAATGGTAGAACCACTTTGGAGGCCTATTTGGAAGTGTTTTATAAAGTTAAGCTGACACTCACCATATGACCCATCAATCCTACTACTACTCCACTTCTACCCAATTCTTGGCACTCACATGTTGCTTTCCCTGATCCCATATTTTCCATGTCTTTATTTTATTATTCCCAGGTTTCTTCTATTCCCTCATTTTCTGTTCTAAATAAATTCTCCTTAATTAAGCATAAAGAGATTCATTTCTTCCACATTGATTCCAGGAGTTACATATGTGGGTACTTCAAAAAGTTCATGAAAAAATAGAAGTAAAAGATAATCTGAATCTTTCCATGAACTTTTTGAGGTATCTCATATGTGATGACATACAATAAAAATGATTTAGGGTTAGATATTTATTTTGCCAAAATAAAATGACAACTATTTTCTTTATGGCAGTAGATGTTAGTTATATATCTAAGGTAACAATGACCATGGAACATAGACAAATATGAGAAAGACAATATTTAGATTTTAAATTTTGTTTCATGTATAAATAACTCATAGCCTTTTTCAATGATAGGAAGAAATTCACATGGAAGTCATTTGAAAAGTTCATTTATTATATACCAATACACACTTTCTGTAATAAAAAAAAGCCTCCCAATACATTGAACCATCTTATAAATGAAGTAAGAAAATAAAATTTTCATCTGTTTACAAGTGGAGTTAAATCAATCAGCATAAAATACCAAATGTACATCTGCCCTGCAGTATCTGTGAATTTTAATCCTGAAAATGGACATGAGAAAAAAACGGTACTTTATTATTTGGCACTGTAGTATTGAATATTTATATAATTATATGTGTGGATATTTTCAAGTTAGTCATTTTAAATGTAAAGTGTTATATGCAAATTTTAGTTTTCCAATTTTTTGGATTAATCTTTGATATTTACATTTAAATATATTCAGATTAAACATTTTTTAACATTCAGAAAATACCTTTTTCCACTTTCTATTTTGATACACTCTTTAGATGAATTAAAATGGAAATATATCTTAAAGATGGTATTTGAAAAATTTATTCCAAATAATAGCAACTAAAAAGTTATGATAGTTTCTAGTAATGCTCAATTTCGATAACAAAGTGCACCACTTTACAGTATTATGCCTCTAGGAAATAATACATAAAACAAATATACAATTTCTTAGGCACATTTCACAAAAACTACTGAAATTTGATTTAATATTGTTATACTTGTGTGATACTTCTATTTCATACTTGGCTTTACTAAAATATAAAATGTTCAAGAAGTGTTCTTGCTACCAACTTGGAAAAAAAAAGTAGCAAACTCCAGAAATTCTAGGCAGTGAATGGTAGTTTTTAAATCCATTTCATGTAAGTATCGAAGTGAACAAGATTGATGGTTTGCATTTCTTTGAAGTGTTAGCACTTTTATTTTTTTTGGAGAATTACTCAACATTGTACTAAATGACAAATGTGCAAGCTAAAAGGAACTAAATCCTATTTTAGACATGCTAAATTTAAAGAACAACTTTAGTACTGATAATTATTTGCAAATAAGGGACTTATTTTTTGTAGATAATTATGATATTATTGTAAACATTGAAGAAGAGCATTACTAGACTATATATAACTTAGGTTTCAAATTTAAAATATCCCCAATAGACATATATACACAAATGGATTTTTGAGCCCACTAACTTAATTCCCTGCCCCACCCCCAATAATATAAATGTTTTTACTGTGAAGAGAGAAAACTACACATGTAAAAAATAAAAATCAAATGTACCATACGTTAACATTCTGATGACTACAGAATAAGATTATATACATAAACATACAGCAAATCACAGTTTCCTGAACTGAATGTTTATCAAATACAAATGTATCAAACAATACTGGGTAGTGTATCTCCACATGAATTGTGGTCTTCTAAAAATTCTGAATGAGAATGGAAGACGAGAGGGAGAGCATTGTTCAATGACAAAAGTATAACAAGAGAACTAGAAATGACATTAGAAAGCAGATGCTTTTAGAACAGGCAGTTTAACTATAAGCATTATTTTTGTAGTTGCTCTAAAATTTAAGTAAAGCCCCTCTCTATGTTTAGTAAGATGTTTTAACATTTACCAAAAAAATCCATTGAATGAGGAAGTCACTAATTCAATGTCACAAACAGAATGGGCATAATATTCTTTAACTGTTAACAATAAGATGTTCTAGACCAGTGTCTGAACACTCATGCACCTTACAGGGACAGTTCATAAGACATGACTTTGACCTCTGTTAGCAAACAGACCCAGAGTATGTGGTGCAAGACTAGGGGTAAGGCATTAAGTGGTGATAGCTTTGCAACCAGGGCATTTTTGTTTGATGTTCTGAGAATACAAGTATTTGGTACTTTTTGGGGGGGATGGAGGGAGGGTAGAAGATTGGGGGAAGGGTATTATTTGATGGCCATTACATGCAGCTACCTTATTCTGCTTGTACAGCAGCAAAAATACACCTTGATCATCTCACACTGCTCTACTAAAACCTGGCTAGAAATGTGCACTGCAGATTTTAAACACATGAACAGCCATTCTTGACAAAAATGATGATTTTCTCTTCCATAGGTGTCTGGTGATATTACTAGTAAACGTCTTTGGAATCTTCCTGTTATTTCCTATGAATAACATTCCCGTCAAGATATCTCAAGTGTCTTTTGAAGCATAACTTGCAACCATTTCCAATGGAAACCAAGTTATTTTCCGTGGGTTAGTGATGCTTGGAATTTGGAGGATTGTAAATCCAGTCAATTATAATGAGCGCCATGCTTCCAATCATAAAGATGATTCCAACCAAAAGGAAAATTAAAGCCTGTAATTCAGAGAGAACGTGTCAGGGAACACAGAAACCATACTTAGCACAATTTGTTTTTATAAGTTGTTCATGTAAGGTAACAATCTGATTTGCATATTGAATTGTATTATTCTTTTTGTTGTTGTTGTCTTTTTTACTGACCGGCAACGGGATTGCAACCCTCGGTGTTGCGTCCGCACCGCGCTCAGTCAGTGAGCGGGAACCGGTCTCCACATGGGATCCGAACCCTCGGCGGGAGCGCCGCCGCACTCCCAAGCGGCACACTCTACAGTAGCAACCCTCGGTGTTGCGCCCGCACCGCGCTCAGCCAGTGAGCGAGAACCAGTCTCCACATGGGATCCAAACCCTTGGCGGGAGCGCCGCCGCACTCCCAAGCGGCACACTCTACAGTGCACCACCGGGCCGGCCTGAATTGTATTATTCTTAATAACCTAGATGCCCATGCCTAATAGATCAGTCAATTTAGAACCCTAGTTAAGGAAAGAGAGAGAATACAGTGAAGAAATATAACCTAATGGTGCAACAATAGAGTAATGGTTAATTGATTTGGTACATCTGGCCCGAATTGTATTATTCTTAATAACTTAGATGCCCATGCCTAATAGATCAGTCAATTTAGAACCCTAGTTAAGGAAAGAGAGAGAATGCAGTGAAGAAATATAACCTAATGGTGCAACAATAGAGTAATGGTTAATTGATTTGGTACAT